GCAAAAAGAAAATAATTAATTTTGAAAAGACAATAAGTATGCACTTAAAGAGCGAAACGAAAAGAAGGGAAAAGAGACAAAAAAAAGGTAACAAAAAAAATGTGATGTGATCACGCAAAGCCGAATTAAATAATTCCTTAAGTAATAAAAATCAAAAGAATACGTTGAGACGGAAGTTTAAACGCAACGAATTTAAACACGACCTTATACGTTGAAGCCTAAGAGAAAAGAAGTAACAAACAAAATCCGAAAAAAAAAGTAATACATGAGCTATCGACAATAATCAAAAGAAAGCAGCTAAGATCAACGGTATCAAATAATAAACGAGTTCGTCAAGCGGTCATAATAACGATTCTCTTATCGAACAATATTATACGAATGATTCATTATAACGGAAATTTACGAAATTAACGAAAAGATCTCGAAATCAGGCCTCGCGCATAATTAATATCGGAAAGATACGATAAACGGCTCTCTATAACACGCTCGAAATCAGTCAGGCGGAAATAATGCTGAACAGGTTGAGACTTTAAATGTCTCGGTTTTTCTATTGATCTACTTAATTTCTGCGAAATCGGTCTAGACGGTATTATATAAGCGAGCGCATGTACGAGTGTTTACGTCGCGTTCGGCCGCGAGCGAGCGACGTGTAGAAAAACTCTACAGCTGAGCGGCACGCGCCAACACAGCGAGCGATATCACACGTATACGCGACGGCACACAAATTCTAGAGTCCTTTTCTTTTGAATAGGACTTAGAATAGACTTATTGCAACTTACTTGCATAGGACAGCATATAGATAGTGTGGACGATACGAACATTTGTCATATACACAGTCGAAAGAACATGAAATGTAATAAGTGGATTAGTACATTGACAACGACACAGATATAACTAATTGAGTTACGCTCTCTCACTCTCCAGATCTTATTTTCTACTACTTTTTCGATGAGTTTTCACGGCGTGGGCCCCACGTTGGGCGCCAAAATTTGCGACGTGAACTAGCCTCGGAATCACGCCAGATCCAGGGAGCACGCCCAATGGAAATTGGTAACCGCGGTACTCCACGATCTTCGAGAGCTAGGTAACTTACGCGGCGTCGGCAGTAAATGCACGACTCGGTAACTCGCGGTATCGGCAATAAATGCTCGATTCGGTAACTCACGGTATCGGAAATAGATGCTCGATTCGGTAACTCGCGGTACTCCACGCTCGTCGGGAGCAAGGTAACTCGCGAAATCGGCAATAACTGCACGATTCGGTAACTCGCGGTACTCCACAAAATTCGGGAGCAAGGTAACTCACGCGATATCGGTAACCGGAAATGGGCCCCAGGTGCGAGTAATTGCACCGCGGTATCGGTAACTTCAACAGTTCTCAAAAATGCTCGGCCGCTCCCCGCTCAGTATATGACAGAGGGGCGCAGTTCTTTTATTTAACGTTAGATATCTGGAGTGAGAGGCGAACACAAGGACAACTCGATAATTAATATTTAACAATAATGTATTTCCATGATTCGGTTACAAGGGTAAAGATGTGTGGAGCGTTCGGCCTGAGCCGATACGGCGGAAACAGTTCAATACGGTAGTAAGGCCATTTGCCCAATCAATCGGTAACAAGAATAAAGTTCGACAATTACACGAAATTACGGAAACGCGATCACGATAATTCGCCGCTAATCCGACTATATACAGCAAACAAATGACTTATATTTTGATCATCCGATACGGCCGGTGAAGGCCAAATAAATATTCTTTAAACGACGGTAGCCTAACGGCCAGAAATGAGATGTCGCGGAACGGCTATTTTTCGCGGGCTTTCCCGTTTCTCGCCGAGACGCTAACTTTACGGTAACAGCAATCTCGCGGAGAACGTTCCCGAACCAAAATCCGCCCGCGGACATTCACCCACGGTACTTCCGGTACGGTGATAACGCGACAAAAACGGTAACAGAACGGTATCGCAAGAAAGACGGTAGCAATCGGTATCTTCCCAAAAGAAACGGTAACGGAAAGACGATAGCAATCGGTATCTTCAAAAGAAACGGTAACGGTAGGACGGTAACGGTAGGACGGTACGGTAACAAAACGAACGGCAAACGAAACGGCAACGAGAAGAGACTGTCGGCGCTTAATTCTTCGCAAGACGGAGAGACTTTTACGCAATATCCGGAGCCGGCTGGACATGCGGTAATTGAGCGTAATTGAGCGCTCACGGTATCAAAACTTCGGTTAGTGGTGTGAGAGACACTACATATAAACAAACTCACGCTACCAGCCATCACCGGACGGAACTCTACGGCTACCCGAGAGGCGGCTTACATTGAGTGGACGTCTTCGGCGTCTTCGGCGTCGTTGGGCTGAGTCCTCGATATCGGCCTCGCGCACTTGCGGCACACCAAACAGTGGCTCTTCTCGGCTTTGTACGTAGGTTCTTCCAAATCCGCGTCGCCTTCCTGCGCATCCTGCCGATTTTCCAAAAGGGGGGCCCCTGAGAACCGTCTACAGTTCATCCAGGGCGCCCCCCCTCCCGCTTTCTGTGGTTTCCTCAAATCCTTCGGCCGATAATGTGTTGATGAGTCGATGTTCCCGGAAGAGACTGGTTAGGCTGGCCGGACCATACTCCGGTCCTTCCGGGTGCAACATCTTCGGAGTCCTCGGAGCCGTCTGCAGCCGGGCGAGGTCCGCTGCTGCGTGTCTCTGCGCTTCTTTGATTTTGTGGCTAAAACCAAAGCGGAGTTAGATAGGGTTTGGATGGCGGAGGCGACGGAATCGCGGTACCTGACCTTTTGCTATGGGATCACTAACGCGTGACACCCGTCGATGATCCCCCGGCGTCCGGTCTTCATGGCGATGCTGCATCTTCGCCCTGAGGCACAAAACACGCAACGCCGCCCGCACGGGGTCTCGCCTTACAACTTAAAAACGATATTAACGGTACAAAGGGAATGACATAAAAAAACAACGCGTATCGATTGTGGAGTCTCGCGGGTTGCTCTCTCCACGCGAGGAGCAACACCAGGACTCTTTGCTCCCTCGGTCGGGCTATCGCCCTTGTGACGGCGCTCGAAAAGCGTCACGTCACAACAGAAATACAAGAGCATACTCTTGGCGACAAACGCTTACAGACGCGGCCATAACGCGCATTTACCTGTTTTGGGAAATAAAGGGCACAAATATAAAAATATCATTGCGCCTCTGATGCATCTCAACAAGAGAGGTGGAGGTGTAATGACTCGTCACGCATTACCCGAATGTAGCACGAGACGAAACGTGACACCGCAGACCATGACCGTGACCAACAACGCGGTCGATTACGTGCACTGGGATACAAGGAGCAGGAGCGCGCCCGCGCAGGATCGATTCTATCGAGGCGCTGCTCTCGATCATCTGGCTGCCGTCCGCTGGCGCCGTCTATCGGTCAATCTAGGTTGCATCTTTCAGTGTCGACTTCGGGGCTGGCAAGATGTCTGATTATACGCGACTTGGCGTCGAAAACTTGAGCATTCACGCAGAGACTATGATCCGAACGAATTAGTCGATCGTCTTCGATTATTGGATGCCTCCCATCAGGCGGGAAACAACGCTTACGACAACGAGTTTCTGTCGATAATCGAGGAACTGCGGGAAGCGGGTCTGATTATAAATTGATCACAACTTTTCAACTATCGCCAGTAGCGCTAGTGCAATGCTGCAGGAATGTCTATCAATAAGTTTGGAATACAGCTTGTAAAAGGTGACGCGAAGAGAGGAGAAGCGCGGTGGAGCGGTGGAGTTTCTAGAAATTACGTACGAGAAAATAGTCTCTGCGTGAATGCTCAAGTTTTCGACGCCAAGTCGCGTATAATCAGACATCTTGCCAGCCCCGAAGTCGACACTGAAAGATGCAACCTAGATTGACCGATAGACGGCGCCAGCGGACGGCAGCCAGATGATCGAGAGCAGCGCCTCGATAGAATCGATCCTGCGCGGGCGCGCTCCCGCTCCTTGTATTTTTATAATATCAAATAATAACCGATGATATGTTCGAGAATGTTCGAAGAAGTCGACCTGCGAAAGAACTGAAAAGCGAAGAGACACTCTCTATCGCCGTGTCAGACTAATAAGTCGCAATCGTCAGTAAAAAAATATAGAGAGACCGTCGAAAGTTGAAAAGAAAGAACTTGTATCTTTTCGGGGAAGTCGAACTTTGTAAAATATCACAGTTTAATTAAATTTATTTCAAGTAGAAGTGTTAAACTAGTTTCAGTGTTTTATCTCTTATTTCACAAACCGTTTTACCATCCTAGATACTACCGTTGCCGAATAAAAATAAATAAAGTCGAAGATAGGACACATCCGTCTTGCCGTTTGAAAAAGTCGTTGTCGTTCAGAAGATTTTATAAGCTTTTATTTAAATAATACAAAGTGTCGATTTGAAATCTTACAGCTCAGAAGTGGGATAACACTATCCTTGAGCCGTGTCGTGTCGAAATACATTTAAAAATTATTGCCGTGTCGTGCCGAGATTAAAAAAGGGCTTTTCAAGTCCGCAACGTGTCGAAAACGATTTAAAATCGCTGCCGTGTCGTGCCGAAGTCGAAAAAGGCTCTTCGAGTCTGAAATTAAAATAAAGACGATTTAAAAGACATTGTCGAGTCGTGACGAGCAAGCATCATGCCGAAGACAAGATCGATGCTTGACAGAGAAGATTTGGAGCAGGCTTCGTTAGAAGCGATCCAAAGGGAGGCTCGAAGGTATCAAATACCAGTAATGAACGACCGAGACCTCCTTATCGACCAGATTCTTACCCACCTTGAGAGGGTTGGGCCGTCGGAGAGGACGTTAGACGAACAACAGGCAGTTGGTGAGGTCCACGTCCCAGTAGCATCGTCTGCAAGGCGAACAGTAGTAGCGGAGCCGTTGACCTCGGAGATGTTCCGTCAGGCAATGTCGGACATCTCAGCGACGATGATGAGGCAACAGCAGGAGATGCAGAAGCAACAGCAGGAGCTTCAGCAGCAGAACCAGCAGTTCATGCTGCAGATACTACAGCAGCTGGCGCCGAGGGCGGGAAACGTCCAGGTGGTCCAATCAGACGGAGAGGCAGACCCAGGTAGCCCTGAATCATTAAGCAGAAACGAAGGTAATGTGTCGAACAATCTTAATTCTGCGATAAACGGACAAACGAATATCAGTGCGCATACCTTACCGGCGGGAAATGCGGTTAGTTGGCTGGCCTCTCAGATTCCGGAGTTTAGTGGCGGTGAAGACGAAAACGTTGCCGTGTGGTCGAGACGGGTCGACCAAGTCGCCGTCATTCATGGCGCTTCCGACGGGATCACGTTGCTGGCCGCGTCCAGTAAATTGACGAAATTCGCTCGTCAATGGTACGAGATCCAGACGGGCGATGTGATCGGGTCTTGACTGGCCCTAAAAAACGAGTTAAATAAAATGTTTGAGAAAAAAGTGCCTTTCTATAAAGCGATGCAGAAAGTCGAGGCGCGAAAATGGAACGCGCATAAGGAAACGTTCGACCAGTACGCGATCGCCAAACTCGCGTTACTGAACAATTTGAATTTGCTGATTAAAGACTCTATTCATTTACTTATCGGAGAAATAACGCAGAGTTCGTTGAGAGCCATAGCTCTTTCGATCGCAGGCGACTCGATCGATGACTTTTTGGTGAAAATGCGCCGTATCGCGGAAGGTGGAGTCGATGCCGAACGGAAGCACGGTTCGTCGATAAATACGCCGAGAAATTTAAACATTAATCTGTGCCGAAATTGTGGAAAAAAAGGGCATTCGCATAAAGAATGTCGAGGTGACACTACCTGTTTCTATTGCAAAGCAAAGGGTCACCGTCAGTTTGATTGCCCCGTGCTTAAGAGCAAGGGCGACGGGAAGCCGACGCTGCAGGCGCGTCACGCGACGGGCTATACAGCAGCAGCTGTTTCGTCCGCGGCGTCGAGCGATGACGTCGTGGCGATCGTCGCAGAACCAGCCGACAGCAGATTAGAGCTGTCCCACGACTAAAATCACGAGCATCTATAATGAAGAATGCGATTTAGAAGCGCTAGTCGATACCGGCAGTCCGGTATCTTTTGTAAATTATAGGGTTTTTATCAAATACATAATGCCGAAAAATCAAGAAATTCTTCCGTCGGATAGGAAATTAGTTAATTTAAGTACAAAACCGTTGAAGGTCGAAGGAATCGTTGCCGACGAGAATAACGATAAAAGATATCGAAAACAAATTGTTTGAAGTCCCTCTGTATATATTAAACGAGTCGTACACAGGGGATATGATCCTAGGTCGCGACTTCATAGATAATAACCGACTCACTTTAATTTACAAACATAACGACGCGTCGAAGGAAAGCTCAACAAGCCGAGTCAGCTTGTTCGAGCAACTGCCGCTCTGTATCGAAGATAATAAAACGCACGATCTTCACGATAAAATAAAAGATAGCCTTACAAATGTAAATATAAAATATAAGGAAAAATTAATTAACGTTTTAATAGATTTAGAAAGTAAGAATGTCGTGCCGATAGAAGATAATTATGAAGTAGAAGTGATCTTACGTGATCCTTCGATCTATGCATTTGCGCCGCGACGCTTTGCATATGCCGAGCGCCTTCAGATTAGGAAGATCACAGATGATCTATTAATGCGGGGAATTATCCGTCCGAGCGTCTCACCGTATTGCGCGCGGATAATCCCTGTGAGAAAAAAAGACGGTAATATTAGATTATGCGTCGACTTAAGGCCGCTAAACATTAGAGTCGAGAAACAAAAGTACCCGTTTCCGGGGATTGAAGACTGCTTGTCGCGTCTATCAAATAAATCCGTTTTTACGTTATTGGACCTGAAAGATGGGTTCCATCAGATAAAAGTGCACGCGAATTCAACGCGGTATTTCTCGTTCGCGACGCCCGACGAGCAATTCGAGTACACACGCTTACCTTTCGGGTACTCGGAGGCGCCCGCCGAGTTCCAGAAACGCGTTATCCAGATTTTGAATCCGCTGATCCGCGCGGATAAAATTCTAGTTTATATCGATGACATTTTAATCCCGACGGAAACGGTGGAACAGAATTTTGAAATTTTAAAGGAGGTACTTTACCTTTTAAAGCAGTATCAATTCGTATTAAATTATGATAAATGCATTTTTATGAAAAGCGAAATCGAATTTTTAGGATATGTTATTTCGGCAGACGGTATCACGTTGAGTCCGAGACACACGGAGTCGGTAAAGAACTTTAAACAGCCAAGAAACGTTCACGAGGTTCAACGATTTCTCGGGCTGGCTAGTTACTTTAGGAAATTTATAAGAGATTTCGCGATTAAGGCAAAGCCGTTGCACAATCTTTTGAGAAAAGATTCTGATTTTACTTTCGATGCGGAATGCATGAGAGCATTCGAACAATTAAAAAATGAACTCACCTCAGCGCCGGCACTAGCGCTTTATAACCCGGCCCTCGATACGGAACTGCACACCGATGCAAGCAGTCTGGGCCTGGGCGCAATACTGCTTCAGAAGCAGAACGACGGTAGATGGTGTCCGGTTGCGTATTTCAGTCAGGCAACCAATAACGCTGAAACAAGATACCACAGCTTTGAGCTCGAAATGCTAGCGATCGTAAGAGCGATTGAACGATTTCATTTATATCTTTTCGGGCTAGACTTCGTAATCGTTACCGACTGTAATGCCCTTGTGCATGCAGTGAACAAAGCTAATCTTAACCCGCGTATAGCGAGATGGACACTCACCTTGCAGAATTATCGTTTCAAGGTTACGCATTGGCCGGGCAAAAGAATGGCACACGTCGATGCCCTCAGCCGATGCACAGGATATGTAAACGAGCTACCGCTTGAGAGGGAGCTCGAGTTCAGACAATTAGCCGATCCTAAAATTAGAGCAATTAGCGAAGAGTTAGAATATAAGAATAGCGATAAGTTTAAATTGATTAATGGGTTAGTTTATTTTACCCGTAATGGGGAAACGAGTTTCGTCGTGCCGGAGTCGATGGAGACCTGCGTGGTCAGGGCTCACCACGACGACATGGCCCATTGTGGTCTGAAAAAAACATTACAAAGAATCAAACAGAATTATTGGTTCCCATCGATGCAAAAAAAGATATATGATTACATCAAAAATTGCCTTACGTGCATAATGGCCAATGATGCGCCTACTCGTAAAGAGGGGGAGACGAGTCTCTATCCCTCGCCAACAGCGCCGTTAGAAACTTTGCATCTTGACCATTTCGGTCCGCTACAGGAATCTGTAGACAAATTTAAGCATATTTTTGTAGTCGTCGATGCGTTCACACGATTTACGTGGCTGTGCCCCACGAGATCGACATCCACTGCCGAAGTGGTGGATCATTTAACCAAAATTTGTAACACTTTCGGTAATCCACGAGAAATGGTATCAGATCGAGGTACGGCGTTTACCTCCAAGGATTTTGCGGAGTTTACGTCAAAATATAAAATAAAACACCGAAAAGTAGCCGTGGCGGCTCCATGGGCGAACGGCCTAGTAGAACGCGTCAACCGATTTATAAAATCCTCGTTAATAAAACTGTTAGATAACGCGGCCAATTGGAAAAAGGAACTAGGAAGGTTACAGTATATAATTAATTAAATAAAAAAATTTTTCACATTTAATCAAAATAAAAAATAATTACAAAATTTCGCAAAAAAACTTGGCGCTTCTATAAAATAGCCTTCATTGCTCTATAATATTTTAAGATGTATAATAATATTTTAATAGCCTTCATTGCTCTATAATATTTTAAGATGTATAATAATATTTTAAGGCTATTTTATAGCAGCGCCAAGTTTTTTTGCGAAATTTTGTAATATTTTTTTATTTTGATTAAATTTGAAAAATTTTTTTTATTTAACTAGATACAGATATAAAAAAAAATAACTAGATACAGATGCAATTATTTTAAAAAGTATACTTAAGAAGAATTAATTAGATAATTAACTAGATATAAACATAAATATCATTTTTAAATAAATAATTAGATATACATGCAACTTTTTTTTGAAAGGTTCTTTATTTAAACTTGGCGTCATTTTCTGATATCACCTCTTTTATAGACAGAATATGTAGC